CACTACATAATCATCTCCCAGTGATTATCCCATTGGAGAGTAAATAGGTTTCAGCATATGAATTTGGGGGACGCAGACATTTTGGACTACAGAGCACAGATATTGATTGATATATAGATATAGACATCTATATAGATCTATCCATCTATCTATATCTTATCTATATCTATTTATCTATCTATCTATTCTGTGTTGATCTCTAGCAAAGATGAGAGAGCTGCATAGAGCTTGTGTGCCTGATATATCTACTGTTCTATTCCTTTAAGAAAAAAAAATTGCCAGTCCTTGTAAAGAAATCTTTTTAAGTTCAGAGGAATCCTATGATAAAGGGATATTTATTTAAGGTTTAATAATTTATTGAGTTTAAATTCAGCCCTTTTCCTCCTAGTAAATTCATGACAAATCTGATAATGTAATTTAAATCCTCGTTTTATATACTGGTGAATCAGTCATACTAAAGATATCAAGGTTGATAGATCACCTAATGATATTTGGCACTGCGTGGAGTCTTTATAATGATTATATAAAATCTATATAAAAAAATAAAATTAAGTGGACTTGTATGTGTATGTATGCTGGTCCTAGGACTTGAATCAGGGCTTGGGTTCTATCTTTTGGCTTTTCTTGCTCAAAGCTATTGCTCTTAACACTTGAGCCACAGCTCCACTTCTGGCTTCTTGCTGGTTAATTGGTAATAAGATTCTCATCGACTTTCCTGCACAGGCTGGTTTTAAACCACAGTTCTCAGATCTCAGCCTCCTGGGTAGCTAGGATGACAGGTGTGAGCCACCTGTGTTCAGCTTGTACTTAATTTTTATTTGAAAACATTGGAAGCAAATATGCCAAGATATTAACAATGATTAATTTTGGTTGATAGGATGATTTGCAGTTTTTTTCTTTAAGCTTTTCTGTTTATTAAATTTTCAAAAATAGAACATTTAGGATAAACTAGTAATAAAGTTCTGAATTATAGTTTTGGAAATGGTAATGAAAGATGAGACACAAAGAACATCATTAGGTTAGGCATGGTGGCACACAGCTATAATCCCTGTACTTAGGAGGCTAAGACAAGAGGATCTCAAATTCAAGGCCAGGTAGACTACAATAGCAAGACCTTGATTTTAAAAAGAAAAGAAAGAATAAAAAGAGAAGAGAAAAGAAAGGAAAGGAAAAAAGGAAAGAAATAGAACAGAAAAAGGATTGTCATTCTATTTTAAATGATTCATTTTATAACTATGATGCCTTTCCATATTATATTATTGTATGATATATTTCATATATTATACAAACTACAAAGCATGGTTCTTACATAAAATATAACATGAAGTATAGCATAACTTAAGCAATGAACACTTTATAAAGCTGCATTGTTCCCAGCCTACCTTCCCCCCTTCCCCTCCTCTCCCTCTCTCTCTCTCTCTCTCTCTCTCTCTGTTTCTCTGTCTCTCTGTCTCTGTCTCTGTCTCTCTCTCTCGGTCGGTTATGGGTCTTGAACTCTGGGTCTGGGCACTGTCCCTCAGCTCTTCAGCTCAAGGCTAGCACTCTACCAATTGAATCACAGCGCCACTTCCGGCTTTCTGGTGGTTAATTAGAGATAAGAGTCTCATGGACTTTCTTGCCCGGGCTGGCTTTGAACTGAGATCCTCAGATCTCTGCCTCCTGAGTAGCTAGGATTACAGGCATGAGCCACAGGTGCCTGGCTTCCCCTCTCTTCTTTTCTCCTTCTTCTGATTCACCCTTGTCCATCCACACAGAGATCTTTGTTGTAGGGGAATTCTTCATGAATTAGTTTGCTGTTTGTTCTGTCTTACCATTCTTTCTACCTAAAACTACATCCTTTTCTCCACCCTGTGTTACTCAATGCACCCTTTCAGTTACTGAATTACTTCTCAACCTTGGCCAAACATCACAATCACCCGGGTAGTTTGTTTTTTGTTTTTTGTTTTTTTTTAAATACTGAGTCCCAGGCCCCAGCCAAGCTCTTCTTATTTAATTGTTCTGGGTTGGAGCCCAGGCAGCAGTATTTTTAAAAGACTCCCTGAGTGATTCTAAATATCTAGTCAGGACTGTGAGTTGCAGTAAAGCCTCCTGTAGTACCAATGGGCAGAGTTAATTACTCCCTCTCCTGCTCACTCAACGCCCTGAGCTTCCACATTGCTCATGAAATTTAATGATCATTGTATTAAAGTTAGTGTTCATAGCAAGTGTTCAGTAAATGTCGAAGGTTCTCACATTCCTTCCCAACCAGGCTTTTATCCTCACCGTGGAACAGGGACAGTGGAGTGGGTGAGTGTTTCACATTCAGTGACACTGGGGGACTTCTTTGAATTTTGTGTGACCCTTCCCTCCCAGCCTTCACACCCACCCCTCACTGCCTCATCATCAGAGAACCTAGGTCTGGTGTTTTATCTGTTTAGACACCAGGCAATATAAAGAATTAACGTCTGAATCCAAACATTCCTGCCTTCTGTCTCCCTTCTTTGTATCACTGGCCATCAGTTTTGTGCCGGATCCTGCTACGTTAGCTTTCAAGAGCCAATTGTCAACTGTTCTTTACCAAAGGTCTTCTGAAAATCCAGACAAATTATGGTCTGTGCCCCAGACTGCCAAACCTCTAGGTTCCATCTTTCCAGTGTTTGACAATTTTAAGTGGAGTCAGTCTCTCTCCCTTTTGTTTATTTGCCTTAGTCTCATTGACCTTGACATCTGTCAGATCAGAGGGGACCTTGTGAATGTGTGTACGTGGTGCATGCACACCAATCCTGGGTCTTGAACTCAGGGCCTGGATGTTGTCCCTAGCTTTTCTGTTCAAGGCTAGTGTTCTACCACTTGAGCCACAGCTCCACTTTCTGTCTTTTTGGTAGTTAATTGAAGACGAGTCTTACACACTTTCTTCCCCAAGCAAACTTTGAACCACAATCCTCAAATCTCAGCCTCCTGAGTGGCTAGGATTACAGTTATGAGCCATCAATGCCAGGCCTTGCCCGTTTTTATTCATTGCAAGCTTCTGAAATGCTTTTTTCCTTTCTATTAGCATAAATTGTACAAAGGGATTTCATTGTGATATCCACACACATGTATAGACTGTACTTTGGTCAGACTACATGATCATTTGATCTCTCTACCCTTTATAGGAGTTTTTAGTGAGTTTCATTAAGTTTTTTTTTCATGTATATCTCTTCTTCTTTTTATTTTTATTTTCCTAGTGTCTGGGCTTGACCCCCTGTCTTGCTTGGCTTTTTTCATCAAGGCTGGCACTCTCCCACTTGAGCTACACCTCCTGTTCCAGCTTCTTGTTGGTTAATTGGAAATAAGAGTCTCAATGACTTTTCTGCATAGGCTGGCTTCAAATTGAGATCCTCAGATCTCAGCTTCCTGAATAGGTAGGATTATAGGCATGAGCCACCAGCCTGCAATACCAAACATTGTTGGGCAGGTACATCTGCTGTCTCTTGGGTGAGTGTCTCAGCCTCCCCAGTTAAAGGAGGAAAGCCTAGACCCTGGTCAAATCTGCAGGGGAGAAGAGAGGAGGAGAGCTGAATATGAGAAAAAGCAATCCGTTGTATCAGCAAAACCAGAATCCCATAATACCACCCGCATGAATCCCTGGCTGTCAGGAAGGCAAGGCTGGCAGGGCTTCCCCTCTTCAAACTCATCTGGAAGGAAGCAGAGTACATTTAATTGTCTATGCTTTCCTATTAGAATACTATTTCTAACCAGGGGTGTAGTTCAGGGGACAAAATGTTTACTCAGCATGTACCTGGTCCTGGGTTCAATTCCCAGTACCCAAAACAAAACAAACAAATGAGAATTGTATTTATGTATGTGTTTATTTAATAGCCTCAGCTCGGAAATGTTGGGGTGTTGGTTACTGCTGCCCCTCAGAACCACAGCCTGGCAGTAGAGCCCCAGCAGTTGGTTCACAGAGGTACTTCTTCATTAATGAATATATTTAACTTGTAAGGGAAGTTTCTATCCTAGATTTCAGGAAAATCTCCCTTTCTCTTTTCTTAAGGTCACCAGGACATAATGAGAAATAAGGTGTGGTAAAACTGAGTCCAGTGATGAACTGCAGTATGACACAAATGGATTAACTTTAAATCTGAGCACCCTGTGTTTATCTGGTATACTTTTTGATCCTCTGAAGCAACCCACTAACCTTTCTGTCTTGAGTCATTTATTAAACAACAAACTATTGCCTAGTTCCCTTGGAAGTTATACAAATTAATTAATGTTTGGAAAATGACTTGAAAATTTAAATCGGTCTATAAATATCAGACAGTTGGATTTTTCCCTGCTGAGAGGCCCAGGTAATTCATAACCTCTTTATAATAAAGGTAAAAATAGTGTACTTGGGTTTACAATTAAATGTGATTTATATGCAGTTCATATAGTCTTTACAATCTAGGAACCATTTAACAGGAACAATGCATATTTCATAACTATAATAAAAGCATTTTATGACTTATGAAAAGTAATTATCTACTGTGTGACTGACTGATCTAGACCTGGTGTCTTCAACCATTTCTGAGCTCTTTCTGTCTACTCAAGGTTCATATTTAACCTATTAATACTGACAGATAAGGTTATCTTTAAATCCTCACTTGACTTCAAAGTTCTAATATTTATTTCCTGAGAAATCTGCCTGTATTCAACTTTTCTGTACTACAAACCTCCTATGTCAAGATTTATCACTTTTATATTGTAGTCATTAAAACTGAACAAAATCTTAATAGTCCCTTTATTAACTACCATACTGACTTTGTATAGTTGAAATCACCACATGTTAATTGGATTTAATTAACTATTTTAAACTACACAAAATCTTGACAGTAGACAATAGCACAGGGAACTCAAGAGCAATAAAACTGGAGTCAATATTGCTACTTTATTAAAACTTAATGAAACTATTCATAATCTTATTTATTGTTTGCAAGAAGAAAACTGTGTTCGTTGTGAAGACAAAAATATCTACTGAAAACAATTTTCTTATCATCTAGGTGAATATTCAGAAATTAATCAAAGGATCCACCATCCCCAGCCTCACAGTTCTGCCATCTGCTCATCGCAATGATCCCCATTTTATCCCCGTACCGGTGTTACAGAGGGATGCCAATAAAGGTTAGTGACCCAATAGCCATGTTGTGATATAGCATTGTGTTATAACTATAACCAAGGGCCTGGCTCTGCACTCTGGCTCAGTCACTAATTTTCCTTCCTGACCTCAAACAAGTCACACCCTCTGGCCTGAACTTCCCCCTATGTGGACCAGAATGTTGGATTCCACAGTCACAGGTCACATGGTCCTTCCTGTCTTCAAAACCCATCATTCTTGGGCTGGGAATGTGGCTTAGTGGTAGAGTGCTTGCCTAGCATGCATGAAGCCCTGGATTCATTTCCTCAGTATCACGTAAACAGAAAAAGCCAGAAGTAGCTCAAGAGGTAAGGGGTAGTGCCCAGGCACTGAGTTCAATCCCTAGGACTGGCCAAAAAAAAAAAAAAAAGACCAAATTCTTCAGGCTTAATATAGATTTTTAGATTGTAGTGTTGTGGTATATTAAAGTTACTATTGTGTTTATGTGATATTATTAGAAGATCTTAAGCTTTTGAGCAGTTTTTATTCTGATGTTATTCTGATAGCATTTAAAACTTATTTTCAGAACACTACTGGGCAGAAATTGAAAGCTAGAATTAATATAACTAGACATTATCTAGTCTGTCTTTGTCTAAATTCTAGTTTTAGGAAACCAGTAGATTTCTCAGGGTTTTTTTTTTTAATGTTGTTGTTTCTTTTTCTTTTGTTTTGTGTGTCAGCATTGAGGCTTGAACTTGGGTCCAGGGTATTCTCCCTTAGCTTTTCTCACTCTACGAACTTAAGCCACAGCCACTTCTGGCATATTGGTGGTTAATTGGACATAAGAGACTCACAGACATTTCTATCCTGGCTGGATTTGATCCATGATCCTCAGATCTCAGCCTCCTGAGTAGCTAGGATCACTGGTGTTTGCTACTGGCACCTGCCTATATTTCTTGTTTTTAAACAAGGTCTTATTGTCTCTTCCTCAGAATCCCTAGTTCCTAGAATTTTATCCAGCATTTTGTAGAACTGAAATGTTGATTGAATGAATAAACAAACGAAGACATAAGTGAACAAATGACTCAATTAAATGTCACAACGTAACCATCTTTACTTTTTCCTCCTGTTTAATTTGATAGGTAAATGTGTTAAAGAATGCCTATTTGGATCTCCTTTCCTAGCATAAAGATAACTGAGAGAAATGGTCTTCAGCTATTTCTATCTAACTCCCTTTTGTATGAAGTATTTAGTACCCACAGTTAGTTCCCAAGGGTTCTCTGGCATCTGGGATTCAAAGTCATTTATCTTTAACTATTGTTATCTGTCTGCTGACCTCCCTCTGTTATAGTAGAGAACCTTGGATCAGGATAAGTCTCTGAATCTGCCGAGCTTCCCACAACTGTAATTATTTCTTTCCTAGTTATGAATCATTGCTCAGAAATCTTTGTGACACCTGCTTTCTAATTAGCTTATGTAATATTTACTTACTGGGAATACAGAATAATACTAATGGAGCTTCTATTCTGTGCTTCAATTTTATCTTGTATCTTTATTCTGGATTAAATTAGAATAAATGAAATAGTGAATGAATGAACGAATCCATCAATCAGCCCTTATAAATATCCCCTGTTGTCACTGTACTTGATTTTGGTACCCTGCATCTTATATATACATTTGTCTAATCTGGTGAGGGGAAGGGGAATAACAAAATGCTGAAACAAGAACACAGGATGACCCATTGCAACAAGGATACCCACAGGACAGTATATTGGAAATGAACTTTACAACTTTTGAGGGGAGGGGAGGAGGAGGGGACGGAGGGGAGAGGAGAATTGGAAGTGGGGGAGGATAGTGGGACAACAACATGGGAAGGGGTAACAATGATCGACAAGTAATGTACTCATTGCCTTACTCATATAACAGTAACCCCTCTGCACAGCATCTTTACGATAAAATAAAATAAAAATTACTGCTTGGGGCCATGGCTTACACCTGTAATCCTAGCTATACTGAAAGCTGAAATCTGAGGATCACAGTTTGAAGCCAGCCCAGGCAAGAAAGTCAGTGATGCTCTTATCTCCAGTTAACCACCAAAAACCTGGTGGAAGTGTAGTTCAAGTGGTAGAAGACTAGTCTTGAGCAATAAGAGTTTAGGGACAGTGCCCAGGCCCTTAGTTCAAACCCTGGGACCGGAACAAAAACAACAACAACAACAAAAAACCACCCAAAACTATACACCAAAGGTAATTATGGCAACTTGGTCCAAAAAACCCCCCACATTTAATATGATTTTATATTTTGTTTAATTTTTTAATCATTTCATTAAAGTAATGATTTTATACTTGATATTAGTTTATAATTTGTATTAATTATATTTTATATTAATATCTGTCAGGTGTTTAATATTTAATTATATTTAAATTATACTAGAGAACATATGGATTATCATAATAATCAGCTAATCAACATATATTTCTGGAGTGCTTGCCACAAAACTGTACAGTTCAATGTAATATGAGCATCTGCGAAGCACATGCCATAAAAATGCTAAATGGATTTTTCAAGTGTTCTTGATGTCCTTCCCCTTGGTCTATACAAGTCCAGCATGAGATAAAAGATTAATAACATCTACAAGCAAAACTGTTTTTGGAAAATCCACAATAAAACTCCCTATAATTTTCTGAATTATCTGATTAAATCCAAAAAAGAAAGCTTCCCTGTCACCCAGTGGGTAAAGATACAGGTTTCAAGGTGCACCAATCAAAATTTCAATTCAGGTCCTGTGCAACCTCAGGTAAGAGGTCTGGATAAAGACTGAACTTGTAAGTGAGGCAGACCTGACCCCTTCATCCTCCATCTCCAGCCCACACACTCTGCTCTCCAAACCCAATGGGGTTTTCACATCAGGTCTTCAACAAGGATGTTTAGCCTCTGCCTATCAAAGCTACTTTCTCAAGCCTCGTCCTTTCCCCTTCACAGATTATTTCACTTTATAATGATGTCTTTATCTGTGAGTCTAGTTACTGTCCTCCCCTCTGGAAGTTCGACACTGCACTCCCAACCCTCAGAAGAGTTCCTGACACATAATAGATAGACCCTTACTTACAAAATATCAGTTGAGTGAATGACAGCTGAACTTCCACACTCTAATCTATTCAATAGAAAAGTAAGAGTGGAATAAGGTTATACATAAAAAGTTGTGTCAAAGAAAACATTTTTTTTTCTTTTTTGCTGGTCTTGGGGCCTGAACTCTGGGACTAGGCGCTGTCTCTCAGCTCTTCAGCTCAAGGCAAGCACTCTATTATGTGAGCCATAGCGCCACTTCCGGCATTTTCTGCTTATGTGGTGCTAAGGAATTGAACCCAGGGCCTCATGCATGCGAGGCAAGCACTCTACCACTGAGCCACCTTCCCAGCCCAAGAAAACAGTTTAAAACAAGAGAAATGATAACTCTCACACAAACATACATGTCAAAGATTTTATTTACTAATAAATTTAGAGAAGAAACCTATTAGCTAAGAACTGGTTTAAAGGAGAACCTAAAGAATATTTTTAGTAATTTTTAGTAATATTAAAATAAATTTGTAAATGGTCACAAAACTGAGGGGTAGGTATCTCTTCATCAAAAGGATTTTATGTTCATATTTATGGAAAAGAATTATTTAAATGTTCACCTTTTACCAATTAATCTTATTACCTACTGAGTTGTAAAGAGTCTAATCTAAGTCATATTCAGAAACTCTCTGGAGACTCCAACATTCCACTGAAAGATTATCCAGTAAAATCTCTCTCTCTCTCTCTCTCTCTCTCTGTGTGTGTGTGTGTGTGTGTGTGTGTGTGTGTGTGTGTGTGTCTGGGGTCTTGAACTCAGGGCCTGGCTGTGTTCCTGAGCTCAAGGATGGTACTTTTGGCTTTGTGGGTAGTTAATTAGAGATAAGTGTCTCACAGACTTTCCTGCTCAGGCTGGCTTTGAATCACAATCCTTAAATCTCAGGATTGCAGGAGTAAGCCACTAGTGCCTAATTTTGGAAAGTAATCTTTTGGTTGTTGCAAACCTTAATTTTTTTTTTTGGATTGTCATTATCTCCTCTTCTGTCCAAAATGATCACAAATAAAATTATTCACAAAGTAAGACTGGTCTTATTAGGTTTGGCCTAATTATTTTATATTAGTTCAGCAAGCACAGCATTTACCACATAGACCACCTTAAGATTATATGGCTAGCAGCTTTCATTAAAAAAAAAAATCTAAGATCAGTTGGGTGCCAATCTTAATTGGCAAAGTGGCCTGCACCTATCACAGCAGCTTCATAGGAAGCAGAGACTGGAAGGATTGAGGTTCCAGGGCAGAAAAGCTTTCAAGATACCACCTACACAGCGGGACACTGGATGCGGTGTGCAGGCCTGTGATCTCAGTGAAGATGAGGAGCTTGAACATAGACCACAGTTCCAGCTTGCACTTGGTAGGAACTAAGACCCTGCCTTTAAATAACCAGTGAACAACAGGGCTGGAGATGTGGCTCAGTGGTATCATGTCAGCCTAGCAAGCAGAAAACCTCCAGTACCAAGAAAAAAAAAAGAGAGAATCTAAGATTGAACTTTTAAATTCTCTTATTATTTAGTATCATGAGGCTAGGGAATCAAGACCAAGAAACTTTATTCTTCAGATTTCAATTGCAAGACCTGTATAATAGGGCATTTTCTTTATTTACAAGATTCTTGGAGGATGTGATCTTTCTTACCATCTATAAGAGTAATAATCTATTAGCCATGTATGAGACTAGTGTTTCTTGGAGAATGTGGTAAGCATTAGCTCTGTAAGGAAACTAAGTCATGAGGGTATCAGAATAAAGAAAGGGCAGAAAGTGAACTCAACAGATCAATAAGGTTATTCAGGAGTGAAGCCTGGGGAGACCAAACCTCCTTCAGCATGGCTGAAGGGGAAATGGTGCACCCCCCCCGTCCCCCGCCTTCACCACTAGAGCTCTTTAAATATTAGGCGGAGAGTGAAGTCAGTGGGTCAGGGAGGGGAAGCCAGGTGAGATGGAAGTGGGGTGGGTGAGCAGGGTTATTTTGAGTGAGGAGTTTCAAGTTTTCAAAAGCATCTGTGTTCATCAGGGGCATCAGCATCAGATGCAGCCTTGGTCTCAGGCTCTCTTCCAAGACCACATTGGTCCATTTCTTCAGGGGGAAGGGGAGAGGACATGATTCAGAAGGGGTAAGCAGCAAGGTCAGTTCTAAGATAAGGCTGTCAGGGAGGAAGGTGAGTGCTTTAGGTTAAGTCACTTTGCAACAAGCTCCAGAAGCCCATACTAGTTCATCCTGATTAAATAAACATCATTCTCAAACATGAAATGCCAGGCAAGGCCTTGATTGCCTAAGTGATTTTTTTTCCAATTTATATGTTAGTATAAGAATAGAGTCTTATTGAAACTCTATGCAAACTGCTAGAAGTGAAGGTAAGGTGACTCAAAAGTTTCTGAATTTGAGAGAAGGGGGAAGCATTTTTTAAGTATTAAAAGTTCAATTTTCTGGGGACTTCAGGAATATCTGATTTATATAAGCACTTATTTATCTCTCTAAGCTAATCAAGACAGAGCTCTTTTTTTTTTTTTTTTTTTTTGGTCAGTCATGGAGCCTGAACTCTGGGCCTGGGTGCTGTCCCTCAGCTCTTCAGCTCAAGGCGAGCGCTCTACTACTTGAGCCATAGTGCCACTTCCAGCATTTTCTGCTTATGTAGTGCTGAGGAATCGAACCCAGGGCCTCAGGCATGCAAGGCAAGCACTCTACCACTGAGCCACCTTCCCAGCCCAAGACAGAGCTCTTTTGAGAACCTTTTGATTTAATGTGCTAAGGGTAACTGAAGAGAACTTTTCACTTGGCCATGAGAGGAAGTAGGCTTTCTGAATTACAGATACACAGACATTTAGACACAGGGAGCATATAGACTCCACAATTTTTAGCCACATATGAAAAGCATACACAGAAACACTAAATCCTACCAGTACTCTCTTGCTTTGTGGGCATGAAATTCCTAGTTGGGGTGAGCTAAAAAATAAACAGACTAAGAGACTGTATTCTCCACTGACTTTCAACCCAACTGGAAATAGAACTCTTTAAAACATTAATCCATCCACAGCAATCACCTAATTCCCAATCACTGAAACTACCAACAGGAAATAATTTATCATGTGTAAATCAACCAAAAGAGAAAAGCAAATGAATAGAGGGTAGAATTAAAATTTTAAAAAAAAGATTCAATGAAGTTTTGTCCGTTCTTTGAATTCACCATGGGAGCTAAGAATTATGTGCCTGGGAGATGAACCTTTTCTCCTCTCCTCTCCTCTCCTCTCCTCTCCCTCTCCTCTCCTCTCCCTCTCCTTTTTTCTTCTCCTCTTCTGTTATCTTCTTCTCTTCTGTTCTCTTCTTTCTCCCCTCTCTCTCATTTTTTACTGTCTCTCTCCCTACCCTCCATCCCTACTCAGTTGTGGAGCTTGAACTCAGGGCTTGGGGGCTGTCCTTGAGCTCTTTTGCTCAAGGCTAGCACTCTACAACTTTGAGCCACAGTGCCACTTCTCGTTTTCTGGTAGTTAATTGGAAATAAGAGTCCCACAGATTTTCCTTCCTCGGCTGGCGTCTGAGTAGCTAGGATTATAGGCATGAGCCACCAGAGCCCAGCCTTTCTTTTATTTTCTCTCTTTTCTTTTCTTTGGGGTAAGAGGTATGCATAGTTAAATAGTTCCAATCACAGGTGTGTTCATGATCTCGGGTATTAGTCTCAGCATCGGTTAGCCTTATCATCTCAAGAATCATTGATATACAAAATAATATTTATTGAAACAAACTCCACAAAGTGGGAACAAGAGTTTTTTTTTCTTTGTTGCTGTTTTTGTTTTTATTTCCTTTTGTCTTATTTTGTTCGTATATCTGTCTTTGGGAGGGGAAAGGGGGCACAGAAAGGGAGGGTCAAATGGTGAACAAATGCAGCAGTGGGACTCACTAGACACTATGTTGAAAATGAACTATATAACTTGTAGGTGGGATGGGAGGGGGGAACTGGGAGTGAGGGAGGAAGGAGTGGCATTGTCCAAAAAGAAATTTGTTCTTTATCGGACTTACACTATAATCCCTCTGTACACCATCTTTACTATAACAATAAATGAATTAAAAGATAAAAACGAGTGATTGGCACCTGAGGGATAGTCCAGTTCTTCCTGGATTCCAAGATAGTAGCAGTGACTGATGCTTTAAAAGGTTTTGGTCAAAGATGGGCACCAGTCCACATTAGCTCAAGGTGTTCCACGTTATCTCAGGCTGTTGGTGGCATCTGGTCATGATAAGAAAGCACTGTCTCTTTGAGGAACAGTTTCTTTTTTTGTCACAAGATGCTTGTCATTAGTGCTGTCTTTTGGAGAATCCCAAAGTGAGTTGGACGGGGGGCTCCGAGAGTCAGGGGAAAAAAAAGGTTAAAGAGGCAGAAAGGGTGCAATAAAGCCAGCTATGCTGGTGTTCAGGACCCTCCTTCAGTATGAGTTCTGGGAATTATATATAAGTAACACTAGTACTAATCATGTTGACCCATAAATGTTGGGCATTTAGATCTTTTGGTGATATAAGAAATATCTAGAGATAACTCTGTGGGGGGGGGGGCAGGGCGTTGAATTCAGGGTCTGGATGTTCAGAGTCCCTGAGCTTTTGTGCACAGGGCTAGTGCTTTACCACTTGAGCTACAGCTCCATTTCTGGCTTTTTGGTGGCTAACTGGAGATAAGAGTCTTTCCTGACCCAGCTGGCTTCAAAACACGACCTCCAGAGTAGCTAGGATTATAGGTGTGAGCCATTAGTGCCTGTTTTGTTTTGCTTTTTTGTTTTTACTATAAAGTATGACTGATTATAACTAGGGGTAGGGTTTTAAGCATACATGTTTTAATTATTTCAGAATCAAAGATCTCTCTAGTTCTTAAGAATGTGTGTCTAATTTCTTCCAATTTAAAAGAAGAGTAACAATATTAGCAGTGTGTCTTGAAATTATATATCTACCTTAAAATGAAATTACCTTAGTGCAACCTTATTTCATATTACTGCTATTAGAAATGACATTTTTCCTTGGGTTAGAATTTTAAGCTTAAATGAACACACATTGATGCTATGTTTTTGTGTGTGAAAAGAATTAAAGCACTAGAATATAGACTTACAAATAGGATGATGTGGGAAGTAAATTGAACCTGTGAAATCTTCAGCGCCCAGACTTGGAATTGCTTGGAGTTAAACTTATATTCTGTGAACTCTTCTTTTTCTTAGGAATCTTAAGTTTGTTACAACGGGGACTGATTCCTCCGACAGCCAAGATCACCTGGCAAAATCCACCAATCAAACACAAAGCAATTTCTCTGCATAGTTTTAAGGAAGCACACAAGGTCACACCTACAGGTAAGACAAGACACTCTTGGTCAGCTTTTGCTGGGATTTCACAGAAACTCACTCCCCCTAACCTAGCCTTCTCATAGCCAACTTTTATTCTCAATAATAGGATGAGAAGAAAGTTGTAAATATTGAGTTCCACTTCAGTGAATAAAGTAACCTCAGACATCTTTGAAAGTATATATGGAGAGTCAGTGTTCTGTGTGTGTGTGTGTTATGTGAGGAGGTTGATATCTGCAAAAGGCTTGCAGTTTGGTTTGAGAAGCAAGGCAGATGTAATAAAGTTATGCAAGTCATCATTAAAAGCACAACAGGATAAATGTCAGTCAGATGTGGAAGACCAGTGCTATGGAAGTTCAGAGGAATGGCTACCAATGGATCAGAGAATAGAAGGCAGCTTGGGAGAGGATGAAGCTGGATTCTGCCAGGAGACTCCTACATAAGAATCTCACCAGCTGCAGGACCTCAGGCAAACCCTTTACTTCCTCTGGGCCTCAGTTTTCTGTTATAGAATGAGGCACTTGGGGCTAAATTAATTTATCTGTTTAATAAATATGTATTAAAGTCTTGCATTTCAAAGTTAGCATTTAGGTACTAGATATCCAACAGAGGGTGAGTTAGATAACATTTTTGTGATTCTGGTGCTTCTATTCTAGTGGAAGATACAATCCATAATTAGGTAAGTAAATGAGAATTTAGGCTAAAGACCTAATTTAGAGTGAGAGTGAGGGGCAAAGTCAGGGAATGTCTTTCAGAAAGATACAAGCCTTGAGCTGATAAGGAAAAGCCAGTCATTTAAATCTCTAGGGGAAAATCTTCTAGGTACAGACCAGGACAGGAACAAAGGCCCCAAGGACTAAGAAGTATATGAGGAAGAAAGACAGGACATAAACAAGGGAGAGAGGGAGAGATGACTGGAAAGATGGAGAGAGACGGCATGATGTAGGCTACAGCAGAAACTATGCCTTGCCCTCAAGGTTGGTTCTTCCCTTCTAAGTTAATATGGTTATGGGTAGGAACTAGTCAGCTCGATTGACTATATTTCCCAGTCTTCCTTGCAGCTGGAAATACCATGAGACCCAATTCTGAGGAGGCAAGCATTAAGCACAAAGAGAAAGTTCTGGGTTAGAACTCCCCTTTTCTCCACTCTGGCTAGCTGGGATGTGAATCTGACCATAAGAAATGGGCAAACACTTTGAAGCCATCATGTTCAGGCTGACAGAGGTACCAGCTGATGATCTGGCTTTTGATTGTATATGAGACAAAGAAAAAAAAACCCTTTAATTGGCTTAAACCACCCAGTGCAAGGCAAGATAGACTAGGGACTTAGAAACCAACATTGTATTAATGTATAACCTGATTAGGAGTGTACACAGGTGGGCATAGTGATCAATGCTTGTAATCCCAGATACTGAGGACGCAAGGATTGTGAAGATCACAGTTTGAAGCCAGTGGGGCAGAAAGTTTAGCAAGGCACTCCTTTCAACAAATAAGACAGGTGGGATGTACACATTTGCATTCCCTGTATGGTGGTACATACCTGAAAGCCCAGCTAGTATAGGCATGGGTAGGAGGATTGAGGTCTGATGATCATCCCAAGAAAAAGCATGAGGGCAAGGAAGGGGGCTCAGTGGTAGAGTGCCTACCTTGCATGCATGAGGCTCTGGGTTCGATTCCTCAGCACATAAGCAAAAAAAGCCGTAAGTGGTGCTGTGGCTCAAGTGGTAGAGTGCTAGCCTTGAGCTGAAGAGCTGAGGGACAGTGCCCAGGACCAGAGTTCAAGCCCCATGACCGACAAAATAAAATAAAATAAAATAAAGTAAAAAAGCATGAGACCCTATCTGCAGAATAACTTTTCAAAAAAGCTCTGGTGAAATGGCTCCAATGGTCGAATGCTTGTCTAGCTAACATAAGACCCAGAGTTCAAACTCCAGTACCACCAAAGAAAAGGGAAAGGGAAAGGACATGTATAAACACCATTTTTTTTGTCCTTTAAGCTTTAAGCATTTTTACAGTAACATTAGTAAAAAAAGATGGCTTCCCCACTTTATCCCTGCTCCAATTGGATATTGTGCCCTAGGATCCAGCATGAATACCTTCAAACTGCTGGGTACCCTCCCTCACTTGATCTGATAAAAGTCACAAGAAGTATAAGCCTATGTGGGAAGGACTAGAATTAACCTCTTTCTCAGGCTTACTATCTCTGGCAGCTGATAATGATGGGGTTGTAGCAGGTTCCTAGAAGAATGGGAACTACAGATCCTAAGGAATGTTCCACAGGATCCCTTTCTCACATCTAGCATTTACATCTTTCCCATTTGTCCAGGCCTGGCCTTTTGGTGTGTTTGTGTTTTCTGCTTTACCTGCTGAATCAATCTCTGATTGATTCTGTACAAGTGGAATCCAAAGAAAGCCAGAATAGCCATACTTTATCACATAAAACAGACTGATTCCAAGTTAGTAAAAAGAAATAGGAAAGGTCCTTTTATGATGATAATATTAAGAAAATAGTAATTCTAAATATACAGTGATCCCTCACGTATGGTGGGAGTTATGTTCCAGAGACACCCTCCCCCCCCCATGATAGGTGAAAATCCACGAGTAGCAGCATTAGAGAGTCATCCCTTCACGGATTTTCACCTATCACCGGGGTCTCTGGACTGTGATTCCTGCGATAGGTGAGGGATCACTATTATGTATTTTTTTTTAAATCACAATACAGGTAAGCTGCAGTAAGTGCACCATGAGATAGCTAGGGACAACTGTATGCACATATGTGTATACATATATATGTATATACACACATATACCTTATATCCACATATATTACATGTACACATATACATATGTTAAATATGTTAAATATACACATACATATATGTATATATACCCAATATCATATATATGAATACATATTTGTGTGTTTATGTTATACCCATTATACATGTATACATATATACCCAATATTAGTCCCCAATATTATATACCATTTTAGTTGGGGACTGTCACGCACCGCTTTTAGCAAGGGATTATCCACAGACAAAATTGAGAAATAGCAGAGTTGAATGCATCCTAGAAACAAATATGTATGGAACATCTACAGAATAGTCCATCCAATGGCTAATTATACAGTTACCTTATCAGCACATGGAACATTCTCCAGGTCGCAAAGCAAGTCTCAAACATTAAAAAAAAAGAATTAAAATAATCAGAAACATTCCTAACCATAGCATTAGAGAAAAACTCTGAAAGCTCTGAAGTGCATGGAAATTGAACAATTTGTATTTGAACAACCAACAGAATTCTACCCCAAATTCTACCCAGAAAAACTCTGGAAGCTATGAAGTACATGGAAATGAAACAATTTACATTTGAACAACCAATGGAATTCTACCCAAATTCTTCTAGAAAATAGGAAGAAAAATGCTTGAGATCATTTTATATAGTCAAAAATTCTCTGATGCCAGCCAGGTGCCTGAGGCTATAATCCTAGCTACTCAGGAGGCTGAGATCTAAAGATTTTGGTTTGAAGCTAGCCCATGCAGGAAAGTTCATGGGAGTCTTATCTGCAATTAACCACCAAAAAAAAATTTAAAAGCCAGAAGTGGAGCTGTGGGTCAAGTGGTCGAGTGCCCAAGCTCTGAGTTAGAGTCTCAGCACCAGCATAATAAAACAAAACACCCTGATATCACAAGAGAAGCAGACATGGGGGGGGGGGAGAGGGGAAGGGATGGGAAGGGGAAACAAAGGAGGAGGCTACAATGTTTGATAAGAAATGTACTCATTGGGCTGGGAAGTTGGCTCAGTGCATGCCTGAGGCCCTGGGTTCGATTCCTCAGCACCACATAAGCAAAAAGAAAAAAGCCGGAAGTGGCGCTGTGGCTCAAGTGGTAGAGCGCTATCCTTGAGCTGAAGAGCTGAGGGACAGAGTTCAGGCCCCACGACGGGACCAAAAAAAAAAAGAAATGTACTCATTATCTTGCCCATGTAACTGTAACCCCTCTGTACAGTATTTTCACAATAAAAAATAAAAATAAAAAAAGAGAAGCAGACAAAATAACTACAGCCTAAATTTTTCAATAGCAAATGGAATCTAGTATGATTTTCAAATGTTTTGACTTGTTCTGTGTGTGTGTGTTGTGTGTGTGTGTGTGTGTGTGTGTGTGTGTGTGTATGTGTGTGTGCATGCCCTGGGGCTTGAACTCAGGGCCTTCAGATTTCAGACCCTTGAGTTGCTAGGATTATAGGTGTGAGCCATTGGTGCCTAACTGTATTAGCTTTTAAAAAAAAACCATGTGATTACTAGTTCTAGTGGCTCATACCTGTAATCCTAGCTACTTAAGAGGTTGAGAGGTGGAGACTTGGAGGAACATGTTCAAAGACAACCTGGACAGAAAAATCCACAAGACTCTTTTTTTTTTTTTGGTGGGGGGGTTGGGTGGGGGGAGGGGGGGCGGTCTGGTTGTGGAGCCTGAACTCTGGGCCTGCATAGGTAAGTAGAATTACAAGCATAGGCTACCAGTGCTCAGCTCCCTGAACTTTTATTTGCCTCCAAATTGTGTTTATTATGTCACTATTTTTAACCTTATCTGGTCAATATATTGATAGTAAGATTATTCTTTATTCACCTCTAGCTACACATAAGTTTTTTGTTTTACCTTTTATAATGCAGATATGCTTTGTTTTTTTTTTTGGGAGGGGGGTCCAGTTGTGGGCCTGAACTCTGGGCCTCAGCTCTTCAGCTCAAGGCTAACACTCTACCACTTGAGCTACAGCGCCACTTCTGGCTTTTTTCTTTTTGCTTATGTGGTGCTGAGGAATCGAACCCAGGGCCTCAGGCATGCAAGGCAAGCGCTCTAGCACTGAGCCACCTTCCCAGCCCGCTTTCATGTATTTAAGCATATTTTCTTTTATTTATCTTGTTGCATACTTAGGATTCTTGAATCTATAGGCCAACAATGTCTTTTTTAATTTCTAGGAAACTTTCACCCATTATTTATTTGCATTCAATAGAAATCAGAAAAGCTAATAATAAACAAGCTAAGCATTAAAAAGGTTGAAAAAGAAAAGAGGGTACAGTGGCATATACCTGTAATCCTGGCATTTAGGAAGTAAAGGCAGGATGATTGTAAGTTCAAGGTCAGGCTGGACAACGTTGTAAGAGCTTGTCTCCAAAAACAAAACAGCTGAGTGCTGGTGGCTCAAGACTGTAATCCTCCCTATTCAAGAGGCTGAGATATGAAGATCAAGATTCAAAGTCAGATCAGGAAGAAAAGTCCATAGGATTCTTATTTCCAATTAACTATGAAAAGCCAGAAGTGGAGCTATGGCTCAAGTGGTAGAGCACTAGCCTTCAGTACAAAAGCTCAGGGACAGTGCCCTGAGTTCAAGTCTCAGGACTGGCACAAAAATAAATCAAGACAAGTAACAACAAAAATAAAGTAGTAACTTGGGGAAAAATCATTAAATAGTGAATATAAAAGGTAACATTAAGAAACAAAGAATAAAAATAATCCAAAATTAAAAATTGGCTTCTTGAGCCAAGCATCAGTGGATTATGCCTATAATCTTAGCTACTCAGGAAACTGAGATCTGAGGATCACAGTTTAAAGCCAGCCTGGGCAGGAAAATCTATGAGACTCTGATCTCCTTGTAACTAGCAAAAGCTAAAAGTAAATCTATGGCTTACATAGTGGTAGAGTGAGTACAAAAAAAATCTTGAGTACAAAAGCTTAAAGACAGTGCCCAGGGGGGCTGGGAAGGTGGCTCAGTGGTAGAGCCGTTGCCTTGCATGCCTGAAGCCCTGGGTTCGATTCCTCAACACCACATAAGCAGAAAAAAAAAAAAGCCGGAAGTGGCGCTCTCGCTCAAGTGGTAGAGTACTAGCCTTGAGCTGAAGAGCTAAGGGACAGCACCCGGGCCCAGAGTTCAGGCCCCATGACCGGACCCCCCCCCCAAAAAAAAGACAGTGCCCAGGCCCTGAGTTCAAGGCCCAGAACCAGCACACACAAAAAAAATTGGCTTCTTCTAGCCAAAGTATTAAAGGGAAGTGCCAAACACAAGTAAATGTTTAAATGAAAAGATATGGATAACTTTAGACACACTAGAATATCCTGCCGGGCATTTGTGGCTCAGGCCTGTAATCCTAGCTTCTCTGGAGGCTGAGATCCCAGGATCCCAGTTCAAAGCCAGCCCAGGCAGGAAAGTCTGTGAGACTCTTATCTCCAATAAAACACTCAGAAAAAAAAAACAGAAGTGGTGCTGTGGCTCAAGTGGTAGAATTCTAGCCTGTGGCTGAAGAGCTGAGGGACAGTGCCCAGGCCCAGAGTTCAAACCCCACGAATGACAAAGAAAAAAGATTATAGTACGCTAATTTTATGCTAATAAAAATTTAAACCATGCCAGGGTGAGTGGGGGTGGGAGAGGAGAAGGAGGAATTAGGGAAGAAGGGAGGAAAGAGATGGTAGGGGAAAAATAAAGGAGGGCGTAGCAATGCTCCTTAGGAAATGGACTCATTACCTTGCTCATGTAACTGTAACCCCTCTGTACAATAAAAATACATTTAAAAAATTTAAACCATGAAAAAGCCAGTTTTCATGAAAAAATTCAAATTTTCCAAATTAACCCAAGAATAAATAACAAAAGGACTGCATGTGACTGCAAAAAAAAAATGGGAAAACCAGCAGGGGCTTAAAGTAAGGAAGAGTTTGTCTCACAAACACAAGAAAAAGGAACCAGGGAGTCTAGGGCTGGTGGAACTGATCCACAGGACTGGGGTGGCACTCCTGCTTTGCCTTCTTCCATGTCTGCCTTGTCCTCATGCTCACTGTCTTCTGTCTGCAAGAGAGCTCCAGCAGATCTGGGCCTCACCTTCACATCCCAGGAAGAAAGAAGGGGGAAACCATGGTGCCAATCTCTTTGAGTAGCCTTCCTCTTAATCGTACTGGTCACTGTTGAGTCCCAACTGTCCAGAGACAGTTGGAGTCAGCATTAGGATTAGGGACATACTTACAAATATAGTATGATGAGCTATGTATCCTTAGTCCAATCATTCAAGAAAGTTGTTCTTTTTGTTGGATATTGGTATCTATTTAATATTTGAGATATATTAAGAATTGTTTGTTGTTTATCTGAAATTTAAAGGTAACCCTTTATTTATTTTTTCTTTAGTATGACAGTCCTAGGAACTGGATATATTGTCATTCCAAAAAAAATTAGGGTTTTAAGATCAGTAAGGAAGAATGAGGGAATACCTTCTCAGCCAGCAAGTATCAAAACTACCACAGAAACATACAAGTTTATCAAGAAAGACATGGGCTTTTTCCCTCTGACATTATCTCTGGAAATTTTTAGTATAAAAATTTTCCAGAGGGGAAACTGAGTAGCAAAATAGGCAGTACCTCAGGATAGTTATAGTTTAGAGACCAGATACATGCTTCAAGTGTATATCACCATAGAACTTAAGGCTTCACAGAGCTATCATTTAGTGATAGCACATCTGCAGGTCACTAAGAAAATTCTTAGACACCACTAACAAGTCTTTGACATCTTTGTCCTATTCAAGTCTATCAGAAGTTTACTAAAATCCTTTAGAAGTTAAAAACTTCTCCGCTGTTACCTTGTTTCAAGATTTAAATTTTAAGTCAGGTACCAATTACTCATGCCTGTAATCCTAGCTAACTCAAGAGGCTGAGATCTAAGGACTGCCATTCAAAGACAGCCTAGACAGGAAGTCTGTGTGAGTCTCATCTCCAGTTAGCCACCAAAAAGCTAGAAGTGGAGCTGTGATTCAAGTGGTAGAGTGTCAGCCTTAGCAAAATAGCTAATGGACAGCATCCAGGCACTGAGTTCAAGTCCCCTGGCACAAAAAAAAAGAAAAGAAAAGAGAGGGTAGAGGGAAGGGAGTTAGGGAAAGGATGGAAAGGGAAAAAGAGAGAGAGAGAGAAAGGAATTTAGCCAGAATTTTTTTGCTGGTCCTGTCCTTGAACCTCTGTGCTCAAGGCTAGCACTCTACCACTTGAGCCACAGCACCACTTCCAGCTTTTTCTGTTTATGTGGTACTGAGGAATTGAACCCAGGGCTTTATGCATGCTAGGCAACCACTTTACCCCTAAGCCACATTCCCAGCCCCTTTGCTACTTTTTAAAAGATAACTGAAGCCAGCTATTGGTGGCTACTCAGGAGACTGAGATATGAAGATTGCAGCTCAAAGCCAAACTGAACAGAAAAGATCAAGAGACTCATATCTCCAATTAACCAGCAAAGAAGTCAGAAGTGAAAGTGTGGCTCAAGTGGTGTAATGCTAGCCTTGAGCTGAAAAACCAAGGAAGAAAATGAAGCCCTGAGTTCAAGCCCCGTACTAGTGTGCAAGTGCATGCACATGTGTGCACACACACACACACAAACACACACACACAGTGAATTAAAAGATGGCTCAATTGGGTTCCTGTGGCTCACACCTGTAATCCTAGCTACTCAGGAGGCTGAGGTCTGAGGATTGTGGTTCAAAGCCAGCCTGTGAGACTCTTATCTCCAAGAACCACCAAATATCTCCAGAAGTGGGGATACAGTTTGTGGCAGAGGGTAGAATACTAGCCTTGAGAAAAAAAAAATCTCAGGAACTGTACCCAGGCCTTTAGTTCAAGCCCCAGAACTGTTACACACACACACACACACACACACACACACACAGAAAAAAAAAAAGGCTGAAAATGTGCTTGTGGCCCACTTGAGGCAGTCAAAACAAGGGCTTCAAAACAGGACTCTGGACTAGGTCCTAACAACCTTTACTGGAATGCTGGTTTTTATCATGTTTGTCAATTCTTTCAAAGATTGTTGTTAGAGAACCAACAGAAAAAAAAAGGAATTGAGTTGAAGGAATTAAGATGAAAAAAACTTAACTGCTTTTATTCGATTAATCATTTATCTAAAATTTTTGTTCCCCTTCTTGAAAAGAGTAATCTAAGGACTTTTCTCCCTGGAGTATGCCAAACTCTGGCTGTTTGTAAAGGGGAGTGGAGTTTGCTGCAGGCGGCTAGGGAGATGGGATTGAAAAACCCTTAGCTAGCATGAAGGTCTCCCGCCCCATGCACTCAATATGTTCTCAAAAAGTGGTTGCTTGTAGATTTAATTAATTTCAAAAATAATCTTTATGGTGCCATGCACCTGTATTACTTCCCCAAGTCACTTAAATTTTTCAGTCATGTATTGTAAATAGCTATTGTAAATAGTCTATCATATGCAACTCTATTAATTATCTTGTACATGAACTTGGGAATATTTCTATTCAAAGAAGCCTTAAAAAGCCAGGCATGGGTGGCTCATACCTGCAATCCTAGCTACTCAGGAGGCGGAGACCTGAGGATCACAGTTTGAAGCCAGCTAGGGCAGGAAAGTCTATGGGACTTGTCGACTTGTCCAATTAACCACCAAAAAGGTGGAAGTAAAGTTATAGCAGAAGTAATAGAGTACCAGCCTTGAGCAGAGAAGCTAAGGGACAGTGCCCAGACCCCAAGTCCAAGCCCCAGTATCAGCACATACACATAAAACCTTATAGTGAAGTGTTTTATAGGCCAACCATTACCTTCTGATTTGCCTGCTCTTTTGGATCTGCCTTTTCACATAGGCAGTTTGCAAAAGGCCAACTAACCTGGCATCTGATGGAATTATGGGACTCCCCTGCTTTGGCTTTCCCTTTTAAGTCCTTGGTCATTGATGGTTCATGGAATGGATGCGGGAAAGACTGACAGTTGCAGACAGTGCTATTTGACTTTCAGGATGCAACCCTAAGAACATGCACCCTAGGCCTCAGTCCTTCTTTCTGAAAGAGGTAACATTGCCCTACCTCCATCCACAGCCCCCTTCAAGACAGTCCAGAAACCACCCCCGACTGTGCCAGAAGATGCTTCCAAGAAGAAACCACAGCTAAAGGTATTCATATCTAACTTCAGAAAGGAAAATATTCTGATTTACAATATGACTTGTGAGATTATTTTTTAGGGGGGAGTATAATATCTGTATAGTATAGAGCAGTTGGAGCTGCTGCTGGGTGTTATATTCCATTGTGCTATATTGTTGTGTTATGTAATGTTATGTTATACTTTGTTTTGTTGTGTTTTATGTTATACATTAACAGTGTTATTTTAATGTTTTCTGTTATGTTTCTGTGATGCTTGGGATAAAACCCAGGGCCTCCTATGTGCTAAAAAAAAACTTTCTGTCACTGAGTTATATAGTTAGCCCCTGATTTTAGAAAAGGGGATTATTGTATCATTTGATGCCACTGTGACACTTATCAGTGAAATCTAAATCATTCAGTCCTGTCACATCATTGTGAGACTCACTAAGTGACTAAGTCAGCTGATATTAATACCTGGCCACAGTTCCAGGAGTCTAGGATATAAGAGCTATTGCTTATATGCAAATTTGTGTTGTACTGGGTGTGTCTCTGAAGTCTTGTGAGATCGGATTTTGTCTTTAAGCCTAGGCTAACAAGAAGGCCTCCACAAAGAAGAGGAAGGTGTTCGGTATTCTTTAACACTTGCACCCCTCACAGTGCAATGTAATTCAATCCTGTGACGTCACCCCTAGTTTAAAGGTGGTGCACTTTTGTAGTAGGCTTTCTCATGCCCATGGGCCACAATCAGACTTGTGATCATTGAAACTTTTCACCACAGAAAGGAGACATCTGGCCGTGTCATTTCTCGGCTTACCCAATGTGGTCTTGTTTTTGTTTGTTTGTTTGTTTTCAGCTGCTCTCATAAAATAAATAAATAGAAACAGAAAAAAATAATTGCAGAGTGCCATCGAAGAAATTAAATCTAGCTGTGTCTCCACAGTCAACAGCTACCTGTTCTTCTTGGACCTTCACTTTCTAACACACAGATCTTCCTCAAGAGGTTCTCTGTATTTTTGGCACTGGTGGGCTGTTTCTCCTGAAAGAGATTTCCAGGCTGTTTATGTAGTAGCATGCCATGTGATACCCCAGTTGCCAGGGAAAATATTTGTATTTCATGAAAAATGTGGGTAAAAAAAAATGTAAATGTGTAGATCCCAAGACAGACAAGCCTTCAGGCAGTGCTTGGCCAGCACCATTATTGTTTTAGATTCAGCTGTTTAACAGGCTGTGAGGTGGCCACGGGCTAATGTGCAGAATGGAAAGTCTGAGGAAGGCACCTGTTTTGATTCTCACCCTGTTTGAATGCGCAGATTCTACAGTTTCATAAAAGACATTCCTACAAGTAATACAAATATCGTGACTAGGTTTTAGTCAGTATGCAGTTGGCCTCAAAAATATTTTTAAGAATAACATTTTTTGAATGCTAATTAGCTCTCGTTTTAATCCCCTCCTGCTAGAAGCAGTAATATTTAAAGACTGTGGTCCCAGATTGGTACAATATTTCTGAATTGGCTATTTAGCGTAGCTGTAATTATTCATATACTTGGTGGAAAATGGACTGGGCATGGAAGATAAGGTAAGTGAAAGATGGAACCTATAGAGATATAAGCCAGAGACTGCATAGACCTCTGAGACACCAGTCCACCACCAGCAAGAGTAGTACTGTGTGAATTGTGCCTTGCCATCTGACTATACTTGTTTTTTGTCAATATTTACTTTGTCAAACTCTTTCCTCAAAGCAAATGGGGCTTGGCAAGCCGAGCTCATTGTCTAGGGTGGGAAAGGTCTTTCTAATGATTAGCTCCTGCTTGTAGGGAAAGAGGGAACAGGCTGGCCCAGCAGGGAAAACAGGGAAAGGGAAGGGAGGGGGAGGGAGGCGATTGTAAGCCTTCTATTTGTTTTGTAAAATGGCCCTTGAGAGTCATTTTGATTTAAACCACGTCTTATTCTTCATTGTAGGGGAGAGGCAGAAGCATAACAGAATATCCTGAACAGGTTTGTAATTTGTGTGACTAGTTGAAATTTGGAATTTGTCACCTGATGTCCCTTGCTTTAGCTGCAGGGCAAAACTATGGGGTAGCAAGTGGGGGGGGGGGAGAAAGGCTGCCTGACAGCTGGGACAGCCACAAAAGTTCTTTTGGCTTCCTTTCCAAAAGAAATTGGATCATGCTTCAGGAAAAAAAAAAAAAAATCCCACCATGGTTCACTTAAGGTGAAAAACCTCCCTTTTGCGGTGGATCTATAATCCAAACAAATGGCTCAGTAGCCTCAAAATGTGGTCAGCTCACATCAGTGATCTGATTATTTATTTTGATTTCATTCTTTCAAAGTACATTTATCACGGAAAATGTTAAAAATAAGTTCAATTGTTCCCTAGCATGTGCTTCTATGTGTGCATGTGTACATGTGTGCGTACGCATCAAGCAGGTACAAACCCAGCATTTGTAATTGGGGTGACCTAGGACATGAGACTTAAAATTTAAAGTTACGTCAACCACAGCTAGTAACAACACAAAACAAAGCTACAAAGAAATGTAGTAGTCCCCACAAAAGGCAAGCACAAGCCATCAAGCAATGTTCCATTGGCTATATAAACCCTGAACTTGAAACTGGAGCATGTTGGGTTCTTTTCCTGAGAGGAGATGGAATTAGATTTGGTAAGTCACTTAAACCCTCTGAACCCCATATTTCCCTCTGACTAGTGGGGTGACGCTGTTGCCTTTCTCATAATACTGCTGAAAGGACTAACTCGGTTCTTTTGTGGGAAAGTGTTTTGGAAGTATAAAGTACTCTGGCCATAACTCAGTGGCTCATTTTATAGCCTTTCTCTTCATAGTGATTTTCTTATCAGTAAAAATTTTAGAGGGAAGCCAGCTGCCAGTAGCTCCACACCTGTAATCTAGCTACTCAGGAGGCTGAGATCTGCGGATCACGGTTTAAAGCCTGCCTGAGCAGCCAAATCTCTGAGGCTCTTCTTTCCAATTAAACTCCTGGAAAGTAGTTTAAAAGCTGGAAGTGGATTTTGGGCTCAAGTGGCAGAGTGCCAGCCTTGACCGAAAAGAGCATGCAAGAGCCAGAGAACCTGAGTTCAAGCCCACATACCAACACACACACACACACACACACACACACACACGAAAATGACAACAAAGAGTTTCAGAGGCAAGTGAGCCACTTCTTTTCAAGGAAAGAGCCCACCTTTTGGGTCCCCTTTTACGCCTACAGGTCTGTTACTAGATAGGACTGTGTTTACAATGATTGTAAACCGTCTTACTGAACCTCAACAAATTGCTTCTAACTAAAAATCAGTGCAATTAGATCTTCATTCTGCTTCCATTGACTTCTTATTTTGAGGAAATGATGAAGCATATTTGCAAAGCTAGCTATGCACAAGTCACTAAACACCAGCCCTTCTGGCAACCCAGAGCCTCTGTGCAGTCATTACCCCTATGGGAAAGGGTTGATAGAGTGAGGCTTCAAACTCATTGCTCTTGGCTCATGCCAGGTTACAATCTTTTCCCTGTGGCCAGTTCGCCAAATACGACTGCTACCGTCATGGCCACTGCTACTATTACTGTCTACAGCAACTAATACATACAGAGTACTTTCTCTGTTCTGGGCTCTGTTCTTGGCATCTTAAGTGGGTTACTTCACTTCATTTTTCCAACATCTCTATGCTATCGGTACCATTATTTTCACGTTACTGGGATACAGAGAGATTAAGTCATCCAGTAACTGAAATGACAGATCCAATATACAAAACTAGACTAAATGACCCCAAAGCATTAGAAACATCTTCAAACCTCAATCATTTTTTTTTTTTTTTGGGTCCGGTCATGGGGCCTGAACTCTGGGCCCGGACGCTGTCCTTCAGCTCTTCAGCTCAAGGCTAGCGCTCTACCACTTGAGCCACAGCGCCACTTCCGGCTTTTTTCTTTTTGCTTATGTGGTGCTGA